AGGCCGAGGAGTAGCCATTTCCAGGTCTACCAGTTTTCAGTGGCCGCACCCTCAGCTTCTTGCAGCGGACCTATGTGGATTTCCTTTGTAATGTCTTTGGCCAGCACTGTGTATCTGACTGCCTGGATGCATCCTCAAACCTGAAGGACTTCACTCCCATTTTGAAACGATCTCTCCCTGATCCTGCTTCCTTTTGGATAGTCTTCCCCTTCTCTGCTTTCCACGATGCTTTCCTTGGAATGGAAATGGAGAATAATTGGCATTTATTGAAGGCTGGGCCTGTGTTCTGTTGTACCCAGCGTCCCCCAAAGACCACCAAGAAACCGAATCCGGTACAAAAGCAAAGAGTCTTTGTATTGTTTCAAGTTAACTAAGGACTCTGTCAGTCTGATGCAGCAACAGAGCAGGAGAGATCCTGAGTAGCAATACGGCAGTGTTTTTTTGTTTGTTTGTTTTTGTTTTCCTTCTGAGATAGGGTTTCTCTGTGTAGCTTTGGTGCCTGTCCTGGATCTCGCTCTGTAGACCAGGCTGGCCTCAAACTCACAGAGATCCGCCTGCCTCTGCCTCCCGAGTGCTGGGATTAAAGGCATGCACCACCACCGCCCGACTTTGTTAGTAACTTCTAATTGGCTAGAGTTAGTTGGGGGTTACAGTTATCCATTGCTGGGCAGGCCTGGACAAGTACAAGGCTCTGTCCTTGAACTGCCATGGAGGCTGGCTGGCCTAGCACGTACTGACTGTGGGGGCTGGCTCAGTGGCCAGGCTTTCACATTGACCCATGCACGTAGCTCTAAGTTGGTGAGGGGTCCCAGACAGTAAACAACTGGCTGAACCTTGAGCAGTCAGAGTACGTGCAGAAAGGGAGCCACTGCAAGGACTATGTCTTTTGTTCGTGGCCCTCCCAGAAACTGCTTGCTCAAGTCTCAGGAACCTGAAATTGAGGCCTGATCTCTGAGAGAAGACTGAGCAGCCTGTTATGGCATCTGCTTGGTCCTTTCAGTTCAAGTCTTACATCTACTGAATGAAGTTTGTCATTACAGTAATCTATATAGGGGATAGAATCACCAGTGGCCACTGGACAGATAAGGAGGGTGCTGGTTCCTGCAGGAAATGACATCACTACATTCTCTTTCTTCCTTGTCCCTGACTTATGCTAAAGGGAAAGCCATGGGTCGGGAGTTTGTAAGCAGCAGGCATCAGAAGAGTGAGGTGCTTTCTCAGCTAGTTCTCATCACACTGATCCGGGCTGCAAACCCTGGAGATGATGTGAGCATACTGTACCATACTGTACAAACTGACTGTATAGTGCAGTGGGAGAGTGTGGGAGGCTGCAGTTCAAGGTCAGCCAGGCCTGCCCTCTTGGGTCCAGGCAGCCCAGGAACTATGACTTCTTCACAGCTTATCTGGACACTCAGCTGGAAAGACGGCACACAGCACAGTATCTTTCTGTAGGGTCTTCACTAGTAGGGCTGGGAAAAGTAAGATGGACACATTGAGTGTGCATTCATGTACCAGGCTTCAGAGTTTAGTGTTTCTGCTTCAGGAGAATGACCAAAGCTACTTCATTATCTCCTTGCTGGTTCACCTATCCTTATTCTCATTTAGTTTTTACTAAGGTACTAGGTGAGATCTTTGCTCTCTTCCAAACTTTGCTGGCATGTTACTGGTCCTTTTGCTCTGCTTGGCACCTCCCCCAGGTGGATATGCAGGCAAGCAGGGGCCTGCTGGGGAAAAAGGAAGAGTGACAAGAAATTTCTTGCTCGAAGAGTGAGCTAAGAGAGCCAGAATGGAAGATGCAGAGCCGCTGCCTGGACAGACTGGTATAGACTGTTGTCTTTCTAGCTGTGGGGTAGGAGGGGAGGACTTGGGCTCTGTGTGATGCTCACACACAGAAGGAGCAGCAGCATCCTTCTTCCCTCCCGTCCTCTCTCTGTGCCCCCCTCTTCCCTCCTTCCTTCACATCTTTTTGATGGATCTGGGTTTATACACAGGGCCTCCTGCAGGCCACACAGTGGCTTCCCTGAAGCTCCTCTAACTCTGTAAACACCCACTGGGTGGAGACACAATGTGAAGACTGTTTGTTTTCCTAGGGTATCAACCACCATCGACTCAGATCACTGTTCTCTGATGAAAGCACAACCTGAAGATTCACTTCCTGTCTCTGCTCCGTGGTGACGGCGGCACGGGCTCCTTGTTCTGCTTTTCTGTGCCAGCCCTTTACCCATTCTTACTATCACAGGGATGAGGGTGTTCTTTGTCCACGTCTGGGGCATGGTGACATTCACTTCATCATTTCCTACAGAATGGGAAAATACTATGTGTCTTCTCTATTTCCTGAGTGTTCTGGACAGTCAGCACTGCAGAGACTTTCAGAAAGTTTCCTTGAGGCAGAGAACACTTAATTATTTGTTGGTACTCATTTCTCCTGCAGTTTTTCAAAATTCTGAAGCCAATGAATGGTTGTGATGCACACCTTTAATCCCAGCACTCAGAGGCAGAGGCAGGCAGATCTCTGTGAGTTCAAGTCAAGCCTGGACTACAGAGTGAGTTCCTTGACAAGCAGGACTGTTATATAGAGAAACCTTCTCTTAGAAAACAAAAAAGAAAAAAATAAACAAAAAAATGAAAAAAACCACTGAAGCCATTATATGTAGAATTCTGTGAATTTGCATTGACGACATTAGAATGTCACCCATTAGGCTGGGAGAAATTATGGATTCCATTTCAGATGTCACTCTACAGGTTATAGGACAAATTCCCTCTAATATATTTAGATTTTTTCATGCACAGTGTCCTTTTAAGCCACCTGGACTGGCTGGGCTGTGAACTTGTGACTGAGCACAGTGACAGCCAGAGATCAGTGATCAACTCTGGGATTCAGTTCTCCAGCACAGTACTGGCCTCAGACATCTTCCCATGTCCCTGGTCCCCACTGCTCCCTGTTGCCTTTAGAGACCTCTCTCCTTCAAAGGATGATGCTCTTAGACTCCAGGACCCTGCATTGAGGGCTTGCTGTCCCAGCCCTTACCCTCTTCTGCAGAGATGTTCTCTCCTCTGAAGGGCTGCAGGGCTCTGGCTCCTTCCCAGGTCCCCTGAGTTCTTGTTCTGGTCAGCAAGGATTCCTTCTCTATCATCCACTCCCCTTCTCCAGCCACCATAGTGTGTGCAAATATGCTGATGTGCCTCGTACTTGCTAAATACCTCCCCCTGCAATTCCAAGCAGACTTGTGATCTTTAGTAGTCAATTTACAGCTCACATGAAGGGCCTTCTTATCCATGGGGCCTCTACGCTAGAGACTTAATTTTAATGATGGAGAAATAATGTTTAATAAAGGAGGAAACAGACTGGATGAACGCAGTGGTACCATTTTTGTTTCATGTAAAATTGTTTCAATGTTTTTAATTGTTTCAATTCTTTTAATGCCTTTTAAAGTTATTATTCTGGTCAATCTTAGCACTTAACACTCATTTTTTTTCAAATAAGCCCAGAAGTTAAATTTTCTAAGTTCAATGTGTGTAATAACTCTTAGAATAGCAAATGATTAAAGATCTAAGACCCAGGAGCTCATGGAACCAGGTAGTTATGTGTGTATATGAATAGTATTGTCTTTTTCTGGGCAATCTTAGCACTGGTCATCGTCCTTAAGGCCTCAGGTTATTTTCTGAGCTGGGACATTCCAGGATCCTCAAGTGGAGAGTGGACATGTCCAAATGTTAAAGCAGCATTTGTCACAGACACTGTCAGCTCCGGTGACATGGTCTCTGAGCTTGCGTCCTCACCGAGACCTGCAAAGCATGTGGCTTCTCTAATTTCACAGAATGAAGACAGCCTCGGCCTGTCCCCTGCACCCTCTCTGCACACCTCACCCTCCTGAGGGCAAACCCTCAGTGACATGCTGCCTTCATATCCTGTAGACCTAGGAAAGGATGACTTAATCCCAAATGGTACTTTCTGCAGAGCAGCAGCCTTGCCCTTTGGCTTCCAAACCCATTTTAGTCTCCACTTCCGTCATTTGTTTTCATGATTTCTGATAAATTTCTGTAAACAAGGTGATGTCATCCTCTGGTCAATTAGGCACAAGCCTCTTGATTTTGGAAGAGTGTCTTGCCTTCAAGGAAGAAAGTAGACATGTGGGACCCTGTTGTTGGTAGGACATTGTCCTTATGAAGGTTCCCCCAGGACCCATACATACCCCAGGGTAACTTGAAAGGCCATTTGACCCACCCTGTCACATCTAGACACATGTGTGTCAGGAGCCTGGGCCAGGACCAGAATCCAGGCATCTGGACAGCTGAGGGTCTAGCTTTGGGCTCCTTGTGTCCTGTGCAGAGTGTTCCAGGCTCCTGTGTGGACAGCATCCTGCTGTCCCTTGAAAGCAAGCCTCTTGGAACACATGCTCTCCCACTCTATTGCACACCCCATCGGTGAGCTCTTTACTCCCTTGCTGGTTCTGTCAGCTGACTGCTGTCCATGCCTGTGGCTTCCCTCAGATTCATGCCTCTCTGTGTTTGGGTCTTGAATTTAGATTCATAAACATGGCCAAAACACTGATTGATTTTTTTACGATTGATAACCTGAAGGACTGGGTTCTCAAATATAAATAAAATACAGAGACCATTTACTCTTCTGTCTGTCCCTGCCCTGGGTTGTTTCCATGTCACCGACTGTTCCTGTAACTGGAGTCCTTGTGCACAATAGTCTGGTAGCTGTCAGATCAGCAGAGTCCTTTCTTCAAGGATAGGTGCTAGATTAAGGCTTCAGGTTGGGGGCGCGTCTTTTTGTCCTTAAGCTGAGAGCTGAGCCTCCCCGAATGACAGATTCCCACAGTCTGAGTTTGAAAACCGAGCTCTGCAAAGAGAAGGAAGAAGGCAGAATGTCTTGGTTCTTTAGCTCTCTGGCCAGTCTCCAGTTTCCAGTGTCAGTTTCCGGAGCATCCAGCAGGTGGCGATGGCGGCAGTTGCTAAGAGGGTTTGGAGCAGGAGAAAAGATTTTGCCTTCAGGGTGCACAGAACAGAATCTTGGGGCAGAGGCGGCAAAGGATCTAATCCCTCCTCTCTCGGAGAGGGTGTGGCCCTGTGCCTTCTGGGTCAGGATCTGTAGCTCTGGTTACACAAGGGAGGGAGGGGCGTGCCTGACTGGGATTGGTGCAGAGTGGGGAGGGACGGGCCGCTTGGTCCCTCCTAGGCCTCTCTGGGAGTAGGCATAAAGTCGCAGCTTGTCCAGAGACCCAGCTCAACCCTGCTGAAGCCAGTCTGAGAAGACCAGCACCAGCCACAGCACCAGCACTATGCCTATGATACTGGGATACTGGAATGTCCGCGGTGTAAGAGGGGACTGGGATGTGAAACAGAAAGTTCATAACAGCAAGGCCCTTTCTAGCAGAAGGATACTCCTCAGGCCTCCCTAGAATCTTCTGCCTGTAGCTCTCAGCTCTCAAAGCTTACACACTGGGGACGCTGGCGGGGGGGGGGGGGGGGGGGGGGGGGGGGGGGCGGGGGCGGGGGGGGGCGGGGGGGCGGGGGCGGGGGGGGGCGGGGCGGGGGGGAGGTAGGGAGTAGTGGAGAGGGAGGTGCGAATTCGCCCCTGGATATGCACACTGCATGGTGGCTGTATTTGTGCGGTGTGGGGGGGTCTCAAATGGAGAAGATGAAGTCATACAAGACGGTCACCACAATTTCTCAGCTCTGTCTCTGATCATTCTCAGCTGACACAATCCATCCGCATGCTCCTGGAGTACACAGACTCAAGCTATGAGGAGAAGAAATACACCATGGGGGATGGTAATGGCACCTTCCCTGTCAGTCACCTGCTTCCCACTTGCCCAGTGATGCCCATCAACCCATGCTTAGCCCCTTATTCCTCAGGCCTGCAGTCAGCCTACAGTTGGAGTTAGAGCCTGCTTTAGTTCCAGGAACCTCTTTGAGGGTGCGGTTTGTTTTTTCATTGTAGAACACCGAGAATGGAGTTCCTGGTCCATGTGTTATTAGTAACTAACTAGGCTGGGTGCACTATTGGGGTCCAAGCTCCTCTTATTACCAGTAGTTGCTTATATCCCTCTCCTCCATCTTGGAAAGTGACTCTGAGTTACACACACACACACACACACCGCCTCAGGGTGTGTGTGCTCCTGGTCTAATACTAGGAGTAGGGTAGGACACTGGACTGATCTCTTCACATCGTCTTGTCTACAGCTCCCGATTATGAGCAAAGCCAGTGGCTGAGTGACAAATTCAAGCTGGGCCTGGACTTTCCCAATGTAGGTGCAGGGAAGTGGGGTGGGGGTGGGGAAGGCATGGTGTCCTCACCTCGTCCCCTTGCCTGGCTGAGGGGGTTGGGATCAGTGCTTCTGCTCACCTGCTCCCACTCCTGGTGGCTGCACAGTGTTTCTGTGATGGGCTGTGTCCCGGCTCCCCCTTTCAGTATGCAGGGTGAGCTCCATAGAGGGCTCACCATGCCAGGCACATGGAGTGCCAAACCACCTTCCTGTTCTCACCCAGAAAAGAGATGCAGGGACCCCATATCTCATCTGACCATCCTTGCTTGTCCATCCAGCTGCCCTACTTAATTGATGGGTCACACAAGATCACCCAGAGCAACGCCATCCTGCGTTACATTGCCCGCAAGCATAACTTGTGTGAGTGGGCTGGCAGCGGGGTGGGGCATGGGGGACAATCTCCTTGTCTTGGCTAGAATGGGATGCTGAGGGTGAGTGTGCTGTGTGTGCTGCAGGTGGAGAGACAGAAGAGGAGAGGATTCGTGCCGACATTGTGGAGAACCAGGTTATGGACAACCGCATGCAGCTCATCAGGCTCTGTTACAACCCAGACTTTGTGAGTTGCCAGGGATGGAGCAGATAGGGTTTGCGGCAGGACTTAAAGTCATGTGTTCAGATCTGCAGCATCCTCCTTCAGTGAATGAACTGTGTTACTGATACTCTGAGTTCTCCTTCTCTACCCTGAAGGACCCTCATAACCCCAGTGAGACAGCACATGAACACTGTGAAACTACCATTACTAATGTAACCATGGAAGAGACGGTTGAGATTGTCTGGTGCACAGTTGATCTAAGTCCTTCAGCATAGTTGTAAATCTCGGCCACGTCTGTCCTTTGACCTCTTCTTCCATGTGTCGTCTTTCCCAGTGGTCATACCAAAAGCCTCCAGGATGAAATTAGAGGATGTGGGAATGGCCTGGTGGTTAAAAGCGTTTGCTGTGTGGCATGAGGGCTTTAGAATGGATCCTTAGCACCACATAAAAATCTGAGTGTGGCAGCATGCTCTTATAATCATAGTGCTCTGGGGGAGAAACGGGAAGATTTCTGGGGGCTGGCTGGCCAATGAGTCCAGCCAGTCTGTGAGCTCTAGATTCAATGAGAGACCCTGTCTCCAAAAATTAAGGTGAACGGTGATTGAGAAAGACACTTGATAGCAACATTGAACTCCCTTCTACCAACAGGCAACAGTGTACTCCCCAAATGATGAACATAGGTCATATCGCACACTGGTCTCACACATCTATCCAATGCATTCCCCATAATTCCATCTTAGGTATCAACAGAAATCAGGACATCGTTTTTATAGGCATGTTCTTCACATACGTTCTCGTGCTCTTCCCAACCCAGTATAACTGTCTTCTTCTGGGGTCTTTATGTCCTTTGTATCTGTGATTCCACTGGGTCTCTGAGGCTAGAACATGCAAGATACTCAGGAGTTCCTTGGGGGTAACTCCCAGTACTGGTTTGGACTTCAGTCATGGCAGATTCCAGGGACAGTGTGAAATTTCAATCTGAGTCTCCATCACCTCACACATTAATTCTGCCACCAATAAAATAGTGATGTGTTAAATGGAAACCTAAACACAGACCTGGCCCATTGTTGGGAAGGTGGCTGTTCCCTTGCACAGCTCTGGGAGGTCAACCTGTCTGCTGGGGAGCCTGAGTCTTAGGGTGGTGACAGCTGTTTTCTGCCTCAGGAGAAGCTAAAGCCAGAGTTCTTGACGACCATCCCTGAGAAGATGAAGCTCTATTCTGAGTTCCTGGGCAAGCGGCCATGGTGTGCAGGGAACAAGGTAAAGAGAGGGGGTGGGGAGGAGGAACTGCCGTTCTTCCCAGGCCTCAAATTGCAGCACACTGACCCTTGGCTTCCTGCAGATCACCTATGTGGATTTCCTCGTTTATGACATCCTTGACCAGCACCGTATATTTCAGCCCCACTGCCTGGATGCCTTCCCAAACCTGAATGACTTCATGGTCCGCTTTGAGGTGATGCACTGTTTCTCCTCATTTGATATCCTTTTTCCCTTCTCCCTTTCCAGGATGACTTTTGTCTTAGTTAGCATTTCTATAGCTGTGAAGAGACACCATGACCATGTCAAGTCTTATAAAGAAAACATTTAAATGAGGTGGCAGCTTATATAGTTTTAGAGGTTTAGTCCAGTATCATCATGGTAGGGACCATGGCAGCTGGAATTATGGGTGCATTCAGGCTGACATAGAACTGGAAAAGCAGTTGAGAATTCTACATGTTGATCTGAAGGCAACAGGAAGTGGCATAAAACACTGGGCAGTAACGTGAGCAAAGGAGACCTCAAAGCCTACCCCCATAGTTACACACAATGCTACCACACCTACTCAAACAAGGCCACACCTCATAATAGTGCCATTCCTGTAGCTGAAGTTTTCCTGGTGTCCTGCCCGGTCAGCAGCCACTCAGACCCAAGTAAACACACAGAGGCTTATATTAATTAAAACTACCACTGACTAGCTCTTACACTTAAACTCAGCCCATTTCTGTTAATCTATACATTGTTACATTTTCTGTGGCTTTACCTGTGTGCCATTACATGCTGCTCCCTGGACGGTGGGCTGGCGTCCCCTGACTCAGCCTTCCTCTTCCCAGAATTCTCTTTGTCTGCTGGTTCTGCCTATACTTCCTGCCTGGCTACTGACCAATCAATGTTTTATTTATCAACCAGTCAGAGCAACACATATTCACAGCATAAAAAATATCCCACAGCACCTCCCGTTTTCTGTCTAATCAAATAGGAAGGTTTTAACTTTAACATAGTAAAATTACATATAATAGAACAGGTCTCAAGCAAGAATTACAGTTATATATCTAGTCTATTTGTATTTGGCAAAATCAGAGAAAATATTCTATCTAGCCTATATTTGTGAGTCTAAAGTTTCATATCTAATTTATCTTTTATCATAACCAAGAAAAATTATAACTATCTAGTCTTCAACTATATCAAAGACCTCAGAAGGATATAATGTTACCTAAGTAAACAGGAAGAGCATTGTAAGCAACTTCCAAAACTCTGGAAATGACAGAGACAGCTGCCTGCCTGGACAGTCATCCAAAGTTCCTCTGCAGTGTTGGGGCATCCATCTTCAGCCTATAGGCCTAGTCTCTCAGTCACTTTTCTCTGGGTCCTGTAGAATATCTGACAGTCTCCTCTGAGAAGCAGGAACCTGAAGGACCATCCTGCCTTGCAAAGTTCGATGGTCACCTTCCTATGGGTCTTGCATGTCCAGTCAATACAACATTTTGTCAAGCAGTCCAGGCAAGAACAGTTTCTTACCCAAATGACTTTTTGCCAAGAAGAAGATAAATTCCATATGGAGTGTCTTCAACGCCCATTTTTCTTTTTGAAATAAATTGGTGCTGCCAGGAGCAGATGTGTTTCACTGTCCAGAAAGTCTACATTTTTAAAACATTTTAAATGCCATATGCTGTAGGTCTTTGAAGTGTTTGAAGATTACCTACCTATTTGAAATATATCTATGTATACCTAGAAAACTTAACTAACATGACTATAAGTTTGATTATCATAGATGACTAATTATTAATCTGTATTTCTCAACTATACACTACAATTTCAAATGAATTGCATGAACAAAATAAACAAGAGTAGAAATATATATACAGTATAACAAAATTAACTTTAAATTTATATCAATAAACTAAAATCCATAGCATTATAAAACATTTTTAAACAAGTTGTTTCACTTTAAAAGTAGGTTCAATAATCTACCCTTTCATCCTATCATATCTATATCCTACATTTCTATATCATATCTCCCTTTCTTGTTTTAGAAAGAGATTGACTATGACCAATAACAATTTGCAGCTAACAATCTAAACAAAGACAAACATCCATAATCCATTTTTTGGGGAATGTGGATGTAGTTTTCTAGTCTACTTCCTGTTGATAGAGGGCGTTGTATTCTTATGGGGACATAAAGAAAATTTTAGGATTATGGTCAAGTCCTTACTGGAGTAGTCTATGAGGCTGTATTCTCTGAGTCAGTTGCCTTGAAGTTGATTTTGGATGTTGGATGATCTGGGCCATTGGTGTCATTGGAGACCTTTTAGGGTATCTTGACTGGTCAAATCATATTTGCCTGAAAGCAATCCACAGGTTCTCATCTTCTGTGAAAACAAAAGCAGAATCTCTTTTCCAAAGCAATGTTTCCTTAGACATAAATTTTTAAATCAAGATACCTTTAAAGCATACATATTGATTTAACTCAGCAGCTTTTATAATCAAATGTCTTTCTGCAGTAAAAAATCCCAAAGACAATATAATCCAGACTCTCTGTGTGATTTTCATCTTTTCATGGCTTTTTTTTTTTTTTTTTTTTTTTTTTAGCTGAAGACCAAACCCAGGGCCTTGTGCTTGCTAGGCAAGCACTCTACCACTGAGCTAAATCCCCAACCCCTCATGGCTTAATTTTTTAATTACTTTTACTGTCTCTTTAAAGACTTTATTTTTTAAAACTTTCTATTTCTTTATATAACTGTCTATGTTCTTTTTTCTCTCTCTTTCAAGTCTACATACATTTTTACACATACTGTAAACCATTTAGAGGTTTACTTAATCTGAATCTGACTTATTGTGGATCTACTGCTTTAAACTGCAGAGTGGTTAGGACTAAAATGACAGCTTTGGCTGCTGGCTCTGCCCACCTCTGAGAGACTCTAGGCCTATAGGCTGTGCTGTGGCTGGCCTGAGAGACAACTAGGAAGCTGGTTTTAGTTCCATTTTAGAATCTTTTTTTTTTTTAATATTTTTTTAAGCTTTCTTGGGTTTTAGGTGGAAACTCTTGCCCCACACATGGGTGTCATTTGTAGTTGAAGTTTTCCTGGTGTCCTGCCCTGTCAGCAGCCGCTCAGACCCAAGTAAACACACAGAGGCTTATATTCATTAAACTGCTCGGCCATTAGCTCAGGCCTACCACTGACTAGCTCTTACACTTAAACTCAGCCCATTTCTGTTAATCTATATGTCACCACAATTTCCGTGGCTTTACATGTGTGCCGTTACATGCTGCTCCCTGGACAGTGGTCTGGCATCTCCTGACTCAGCCTTCCTCTTCCCAGAATTCTCTTTGTCTGCTTGTCCCACCTATACTTCCTGCCTGGCTACTGGCCAATCAGTGTTTTATTTATCAACCAATCAGAGCAACACATATTCACAGCATACAAAACATCCTACAACACACTCCCTTTTGGGCCATTTTCTCTTAAACCACCACATTCTACTCCCTGGCTACAAAGGCTAGTCACTATATCATAATGCAAAAATGCATTCAGTCCAACTTCAAAAGTCTCCATAGTCTATCATAGTCTCAAACTTATTTAAAAGTCTGAAGTTCAAAGTCTCTTCTGAGATTCATATAATCCCTAAATCTACTATAAAATCAAAATCAGAAAGCAAATCATATACTTCCAAAGTATAATGGCACAGGATATACATTACCATTCCAAAACACAGTGGGAAAATACCAGACCAAAGCAAGACTAAAAACCAGCTGGGCAAATCCAAACTCTGCATCTCCATGTCTGATGTCAAAGCACTCTTCAGATCTCCAACAAGACCACACCTCCTAATAGTGCCACTCACTCCCTTTGAGGGACACTTTCTTTCAAACCACCATAACTTTCTACTCCTTAAAATGGAAATGGAGAATAATTAAAATTTGTTGAGCAGTGACCTGTGTTCAGTTCTTAGATCTTCTGCATGAAATTTCTCATCACAGCCTACATGCTCTGTAGCAATGTCTGTTCCATTGGACTGCTAAGGAGGCTGACTATAGAGATTGTCAGTTTCTCAGGGATCCAGTACCACTGGAGGAGGTTGTGTTTGTTTCCCTGTGTGCTTGTAGCTTCAAGAAGAGAGGGCAGTAGAGCTCCCTGATGCCAAAGGAAAAAAGCCGTAGGTTGCCAGGGAGCCTGGATTTTCCAGCCCTGAGGTCTATGGAAATTCAGGACATGTCAGAGTGTATGGCAAGTGCTGTTGAGAGGGGGAAATATGGCAGGACTGATGTGCAGTGCCAAGGTGCAGTATGCATATCCATCCTGTCCAATTCTCTGCTCAGTCAGATTCCTGACTGGGGAAGCACTGGGACCCAGGGCTACAGCTGGTGCCAGGCTGAGTGGACAGGTCGCTGCTGTTGGAGGATGTTCTCCTGAGTTGTTCAGTGTTTAGGTATCCTGTTTCTTCCCTTTCATCTTCCTTCTCAGCAACAGCTTGGTGTTTGACTGTGAAATCTTGAAATGCATCAGTCATTTTTTTGGTCATTTTCATTCACTTTCTCTGGTGTCTCTATATGTGTGTGGCACAGTTTCAGCTCAGTAGGACTTGGAAAGGTGCATCTCCATGCAGGGATGCAGCATGGCAGGCATGCCTGACTATGAGGTACATGTGACAGTCACAGAACCTACTTCACTAGAGATTTGGGGGTCAAGGCTGTAGTCCAATGGGATTCTTAGCACGGAATCTTCTTTTCTGTCCTCAAAACTGCCTAAAGAGTGATGTGTTTTGTTAGTTTCCATCAGCTTGGATTCTGGTCCAGGCTGCTCAGCTCTGGAGATTGTGTAAGAACTGGCTGTACAGCACAGTGGGAGTGTGGGAGGCTGCAGTTCAAGGCCAGCTAAGCCTGCCCACTTGGGTCCAGGCAGCCCTGGAACTTTGAATTCTTCACAGCTTATCTAGGCATTCTACTGGAAAGACGGCACACAGCACAGAGTCTTTCTGTAGGGTCTTCACTAGTAGGGCTGGGAAAAACAGGATGGGCATACTGAGTATGCATTATCTACCAGGTTTCAAAGTTTAGGTTTTTCTACTTCAAGAGAATGGCAAAGGCCACTCCATTATCTCCTTGCTGGTTCACTTATCCCCATCCTCATGAACTCAGGATTTGCTGCAGTACTGGGTGAGGTCTTTGCTCTCTTCCAAAGTACACTGGCATGGTGCTGGGGCCTTTGTCCTTCTTGGTCCCTCCTCAGTGTGGAATAACAGGCAAGAAGGAGCCTGCAAGTGAAAAAGCAAGAGTGTTTGTGTAAACAGAGAGTGACAAGGGGTTTCTTGCTTGGGGAGTGAGGCAAGGGAGCCAGAGTGGAAGATGCAGAGATCCTCCTTGTAGACAGGGAGATAGACTGTTGTCGTTCTAGCCACGTGAGCAGGAGGGAAGCACCTCGCCTCTGTGTGGACTCCCTCCTGTTGAATGCAGAGCAGATCACTGTTCTGCAGGATCTTGTGGAGTGCTCTCCCTGTACCTGTACAGCAACTGCAGATGGACACACAGCTGAGAGCAGTGATCCGTTTCTCCTTCTTTACTGGAAATCAAAGCCCTTCCCTTACCAGTGTTGGGCACCTGAGCAGCTCATGCTGTGTTGGGGTTCTTAGAGTGAAATGTGTATATCCAGTGGTGTCACAGATCCTGAATTTCTGATTTCTCCGTCCCCTGCAGGGCCTGAAGAAGATATCTGACTACATGAAAAGCAGCCGCTTTATATACAAACCATTTTATGTAAAGCTGTCCTTTTGGAACCCAAAATAGGACTACAAAGCCCAGACCCACAAGAATTTTCATGACCACCCTGCTGGCTCAGGCCCTTGGGCATGGCTCTGTGTCCCCACCAAATGTTGTTTTCTTCTTCTTTCTATCCCCTATTCCTCCATTTCTTCTTACAAGCCCTTCCTTCAGTCAAGCCTCTGAATCCCTGGACTCCCCATGTCTTCCTCAGTCTCCTGCTCCTATTCCTTTTTCCTGCCCTGCATCCAGCCATCCCTCACAGCTGCTTGGAGGAATGGACCTGCCATGGTCCATGGCATATGACAGCAGATGATAACTGATATTCATAAGGTCAACCCACGAGATGAATAACTCTCTGATGGAGGAAACTCGTCAATCAAGGCTTCCAGGGCCAGTGCCTATGAATGACTCTAGTGCTTCTGGCTGTACTTTCTCATGTGCCACTACATTTCTCCCCTAAAAACAGTATTTCCCCCACTGCCTGTGTGTTTATCTCGTGAATATATTCCATCTACTGGGCACATATGTGTCTGTCAATGGTCAAGAAGATGATTTCTTCTTAAGCTGTATCATTTTGGTGAATAGAAACAGTGCTAGGATACTTTTCATAGCTCAGGCTGACATAGGAAAGTAACAGTATTCTCGGGTACAAAGATACCTTTTTACACAATTAGCTGATTTAAGACCTCAGAGCAAATTCAAAGTAAACGAGTTGCCCCTGGAAATGAATGCACAAGGTCAAATTTCCAAGTGTCTGTTTGTTGAACCAAGGTCAGGCACAAAGCGACTTTAGTAGACGTAACACTCTGCATAAATTCTCTTTAGCCTTTGATTTTTTTTGCACAAACTCCTAAATCTGAGTTTTATGATACAAGACTCAAGGTTCAGCCAACTGTTTAGATCCTGGGATGCTTTTAAGGTTACTGTCTCTCCAGGAGGTGCTGAAGCATTCAGTGTTAGGTGGCTCCCACCTGGTCACCAAGGAGCTGGCTGACAGTTAAGCATTGTCATGGTAACTCACTTCCAGCTGGTCAGTGTGACATTCCAAGTCTGAGAGAAACTGTGTGATTTCTCATGTGTTATCAGAATGGCTTTGCCTCTTATTGTTTACTCAAGAATGCGTTGTGACCCTCAAAATGCAACTCATATTTTGTCTAGAGTTTTTTGTTGGAGAGAGATGTAGCTATGTAGAGACAAAGAGATTGTCAGAAGAAAAATATTTTTCAAGATGAAGTAAAAGAGAAAGTCACCATCAGAATGCATGTGTTTCTTTCCTAATACACCTCAGATAGAAAAGTTTAGTTCTCACTGACATCCTGGATTTTTTTTTTTTTTTTTTTTTTTTTTTTGCATACCCTGGGTGCAGTCTTAGAGCTGGATCTCTAAAGACCACACTATGTACCAGACCCAGAATCCTCAGTAAGCTCTGAGAGATCATATCTGCCTCTATGCTTGCCCTGGTCCGCAGAGTGAGCAGCCTTGTCTGATCCCCAGTAAAGTCTGAACGACATTTGTCCTGTGTCTTGTTTTGTTGGCTGTGAATCTTGGGACCAACTGCGTTGGCTTTTGGGGGGTCTCTGTTTTGTTTCCTGCAGGAGGGGCTGGAGAAGGAAATGTAGGGACTCTGGGTTATTTAAAGTCCTTGATGTCCCTGTGTTAGGATTCTGTACATGCGCAGCTCAGGGTCTTGTCTGTCACCTTACGTCATCAGCGGGCGACTGTGTCTCCGCCTTAAAAAGTCAGACGCGGACCCCCACACTCTCTCTCTGCGCCTCTCTTCCTGTTTCCTCTCAGCCAGGCCTGGCTCCTCCGTCCTATCCCCTCTTCTTTCTAATAAAGCCCATTCTAACTCTGGTAGCCATGGCTTGTGGCTCTTCCGCCGACCAGCCAGCGCCGTTCATCCTTTCACCCTGTCCATGTCCCCGTGTTCCTCAAGCTGGTATTCCCATGGGAGAGCTCTCCTTCATCTCTCAATTACTCTTCAGAGTGCAGTGCCTCAGTTGTCCATGGGAAGCTTGTGTCATGCTTAGAGAGATTCTGTGCTGAAGCGAAGGCTGAGCAGGCAGGCCCTAGATGACCATCTTCTCCCGTCCTCCTCAGCTTTCCTAAGCTGAACACACAACCCTCGTTTGCGTTCTCAACATTTCTCTCCAGCAGCCTTCCCCACTGTCCGCAGTTGATGTAGGAGTCTTTCCCTCAACTCGAGCCAAAGTGAGTTGCGGATGGCTCCCTTTCTCCCTCTCCCTCATCCTTCTTTCACTGTGTCTTCAAGATGTATCTATTTTTATTTCATGCGCATGCGTGCTTTGCCAGCATGTGTGTATGAGCACCACATGGGTACCCGGTGCCTGCAGATGCCAGAAGAGGGCATCAGACCCCTGGAGCTGGAATTACAGATGGCATGTGGGTGCTGGGAACAGAACCACTCTAAGAGCAGTGTGCTCTTAACCTGTGACCCATGTCTCCAGCCTCTGGTTGTTGGTGGTTTTGATCCAGGATCTCTGGTCACCCACTCTGGCTGGGTCCTCACTCACTATGTGGCTGAAGTGTCTCTTGTTCTCATAATTCTCCTTTTTCTGCCTCCTGAATAGGGAAATTATAGGTGTATACCGCAATGCCATCTTTGGATTGTTCATCTTTGATATGCATGGCCAGGCTTGGCACATGGTTGATGAATGGAAAGTTTGGAATTTGAATCAGGTATCTCCAGAGATGTTTGGCCAGTTCATACAAGCAGTGGCAGGGTTTAGAGCTCTGGAAAGAAACATCTTATCCAGAGTCATTATAGCAACATGTCCCTGCGATGATGCTGGAGTCTGAGCCAGAGGCCCTCTCTCAGCTGAGCAGGATTAAGAGGCTGCAGCTGCCTATGAAAGAGCATGGCTGGTGATGAGCTGGCCTAGTGTGCTGGGCCCCACTGACAAGGCATATGGTCAAAAGCTGTGGGCATTTTGCATCAAGTCACCCATGAAGGACTTGGGCACATTGCAGAAGCACCTGCTGAGCAGGGTCCAGTGCCAGAGGCTGGATCATAGACTCTGGCCTTTGTCAGGCAGTGCCCGTGACCTCCCTGTACCAGGTAGCACCTCTGGATGAGAGCCCTGATGGGGGTTGCCTTCATACCCACAGTCTGTTTGTGAGACTGGTAAGCTCACGTTATTTCAGTCAACATTTGTTAAATTTTAACTAAAAGACAAAGAAGATAAACTGGAAAGGATGTAATAAGGTCAGGAGTGGCCCTGATAATGTTAAGTAGGGAGGATAAAATGTGGACCAGCACCTAGAACAGAGGTTGGCAAACGTTCCCCATGTGGGGCCGGTACTTAGACCTTGCAGGCCATATTCTCCCCAGTATAGCTCTTAGAACGGAGAAGCAACAGAAAAGCACTGGCCATGCTGGTGCAAATCTTTAATTGTGGTGCTCCAGAAACAGAGACAGGAAGGCCTTTGTGAGTTTGAGGCCAGCCTGGTCTACTTAATGAGTCCCAGGGCAGCCATTGCTATGTAGAGAGACCCTGTCTGAAACAAAACTAACCAACCAACCAAACAAAACCCCAACAACAACAGAAATAATTAAGCAAATCTTATGAAGGCTTTTTCTGAATTCAGAGTCCCTTTCTCAAATGACTCTAGTTTGTATCAAATTGAGAAAATACTAGCCAAAACACTCACTTCACTCTGTGTGTGTGTGTGTGTGTGGTGTGGTGTGTGTGTGTGTGTGTGTGTGTGTGTGTGTGTGTGTGTGTGTGTGTGTAAGGGCTGTGGTGGTCAATTTTGGGGTTTTCCTCAGTGCCTGTCCATCTTCTTTCTTTGAGACATATCTGAGTCATCCAGTGCCCTGAACTGGAGTTAACAAGGTTGGACCAGGGCCAGGACTCTTCTTGGGTTCTTACGAACCCAGACCTGTTTCTTTTTTGAACTCATATAGGTACTTACAATCCAGGTCATTCCCCATGTTGGTGCCACTGTCCTTCCAAACCCCAGCTGTATCAAGTGAGTGTTTGTGGCGAGCCACACAGAAATGATATAGGAGTCCAACTGTATATAATATGTTATACTTTGACCGATCAAGGTTCTTTCAAATGGGAAGCCATTTATCACAGAATATTTGGTGTTATACAGCTTTAATATTCAGCTACACCTTGCTATGAATTTCTTGTGCTCATAATTCCCATAGAACGAGTATGTGTTAGGCATCTGCCCTTTGCAAATACCCCCTTTTAGCTACATCCAAAGATAGGGCCAGCTCCAAAACAAAGCGTTGAAAGACAAGCAGGTATCAGACCACCTGCTAGGTGCCTGAAGCCCCTGAACTAGGTAAAATGTCTTTTTGCAGACAACCTGGCTCCCAGGCCAAGTGCCTGGCCCTCTAGGTGCATAGCTTTGCTTCTTTTGCAAATCAAGTTCAGATCTTCCCCCTTTTCCCACTGCTCCAGTGCAACTTCTTAGATCAACGGTGTTTCCTCTCACCAGGTCCTTTAAGCTGTGATGCACAGTGACTAGCTGTCAGGACTCCTCCCCCGCCCTGTCAGGAAACTGGTAGCAGAGACAAACAGTGGCGGTTTTATTTTTAGTGACTTATAGATTTCTTTACCCTGTCACCCGTAAGTCTGTAGTCTGAGCACATTGATGATAGACTCGTAATGTTCTCACCTCACCACACTAAGGTTATATTTCTAGCACATAAATTTCCTCTCTGATTTATATCAGTTTCTATCTAGCTCCACCCTTATTCTCTCCCCCTTTTTGGGTTGCAAATGAAGTTGCCAGGAAACTTCTGGTGGGGACCTTGCAATTCTTATGTTGTATCATAAACATGAAGGTGTTGCTGTCTTGGGAAAGATATAGACTGGTCCAGAGAGAACCAGGCAGAATTATGACGGCAGACACAGAACCACGTGGCCAGAGAAAAGAGAGGAAGACAGAGATTCTGTAGAGGGTAAGGCAGATCTCTGGTAGAGTTCCTGAGAGCCAGGGGTAAGACAGGAAGGTGAGATGGAGGACACAGGGACAGAGGATGAAGATGAGGTCAAAAGCACAGGAGCTTACTAAAACTATGAGGACAGGAAAAGTGTGCACAGAGAAGAGGTGAATGTGAGGATAGAGATGAAGCTGAATAGATAGAATTTCGTCATAGAGGAATAAAGTAAACAGACAAAAAAAGCATGGTGTATGTAGATTCCTTTCCCTCACATAACCCCACGCTGGATGTAGTGTCTTTCCTAGGACTCTGGGAGGAACTTTCACAGGGCTGGCCTTGGAAAAATTGCATTAAATGTTCTTATCAGAGCCCACCAACCTCAAGACAGTGTCTGTTCTTCCAGAGTGGACCTTGAGTTCCCAGAGAGTAGCGTCTGCTCTGTACTCTCTCTACCTCTGGCCTTGGCCTGCGCCAAGGGCTCTGGTCCAGCTGACTTGTGCTATCTGTGCATTTCTGGTTCAATCAATGAAAACGAGAATTCCAGGATGGACTGTCATGGAACCCTGGCTTATGAACTCTGTGCAAGCCTCTCCCAGTGCAGTCCCTCTTACATCCACATGAATCAGCAGAT